ATCCTTAAGAAATCAGTAAGAGCACCTCACTCCTAAAGATCTACTATTTAGAAGATCCCAGTAAGTCATAACTCAATTACTGGCTACAAAAACGCTACAAAACCTGAGATGTCACCACTAGTAAGACATAAACTTACTGAGATGAAATGAATTTTTAAACGAAATATATACACTGAGATTGGAAATTGTTCTACGGATACTTCATCTACCCAATCCAGCTCCATATAAAGATTCTCTAGCTGTTTTTCACTACTGCATCTTCATTAAGAGTCCCATGTGACACAGGGAGGTTGTGGTTGCTATGTGTGACTCATATGAAGACTTTCAGCCTTCAGCAGATGCTGGTATGCCAGGGATCATTGCTTATTAAAATAGGGTCAAGGATGAAAATTAGAAGAACTCAGATATCACTCTGTGTTGGATTCAGTAAGAATAAAACATATTAAGATTTTTCAGACCTTAAGCCACTCCTGAGGAAGGCTGACTATAGCTCTGGGACCTATAATGAGGAAAGAGAATATAGCTCTTGCCTGCGATCTTGTACTTTCTGTTTCATAGAACACAGTTGCTAAATGAACAGGCAAATTTGCTGAACTATGCAAATCTCCTTGATCACCAAGATCAGCTCATCACCCTTGCTTTCATCAGCCCCATCACACATAATTGAATTTGCCTGTACTGTAAGGTTCTTTTTACTATGCAGTTCCAGATTTTGCTAACTCATATGGCACCTAGAACCTACATAGCTTCTAATGAAGTAAGTGGGGCTTTGTGTAGATGTGAAGTTTTCCTTATGTGAAATTCTTTACAGATTCATGGCTTAGATTTGGTTTGCTCTGCTTTAGGAAACTCTGCTATTGTATCAACACTAACTCTTAGATCTGATAAAAGAAACTTGGTAACAGGTTAAATAATCTGAGCATAACACTTTCCATTATGAAGAACAACTGTAGAAATTTGAATTCATTGTTGGCAACAAGCCTTTCATTTTCAAAAAAGACAAAGAACAAGAGCTAGAAATGTTGCTTTTGCTTATAATTGAAAAATAATTCAATTTTGGAGGGATCCACATTAATAAAAATTACTCCTTGTCTGTATTGAAACATAACCCTTATAGGAAAATGTCAATAGTCTGGCAGTAATATCTAAAAATGTGCATGACAATGTCAGATTGATGACATTGCACTGAAAATGCTGGCAGAATGGGGTTACATGAAGTGATGGTTCTTTTTTTTCTCTTTCAGGCAAATCACACAATGATAACTGGTTATTATTAATAAGTCAGTTAATAAGTTAACTGATGACACCCCAAAACAGATTTCTTTGAGCAATCCTGGACCTTCACTCAGAAATTAATACCTCCTCACATCCCACATGGAAGATACACTAAGGGTGTGCATTGCAGAACTGGTGAGAATTAATCTGTCAAACAGATACCAGCTCATGTCTTTTTTTACTCTAAGGGATACAAGAAGAAAGTGAGAAAAGCCACCACTGAGCCCTCCTTCTTGTAGGCATGGCGCCTCAGAAACCAGGATAGGGACACGTGTAGTTGTAAGTGATAAAGCTATTCAAAAAGTGTTGTTTCTTTTACACATGGGCATAATCTGTTTGGATACACAGTTAAATTTTTTAATTGCCAATTTCTGACATAAAATCTGTCATCTAAGAATTTAAATCAAATAGTTGTGTGGTTTTATTTTAACTGCGTAGTATTTATTATAGTTTTTAATTACACTTGCTGCATTCTAAATGCAGCTGTGGTCTCAGAGCCTAAAAACGCTAGAAATGGTCACAGTTAATACCCTGAACCACAACAAGCCTACAGGTCACAGTATCAAGCCTGAAAGAGTTCAAGAAGCATTTGGATGATACTCTCAGGCACATGGTGTGACTCTCGGGGATGGTTCTGTGCAGGGCTACGAGCTGGACTCGATGATCCTTGTGGGTCCCTTCCAACTCAGCATATTCTGTGATTCTGTGATAGTAAGGCCCAAGGATGCTTCACCTTTCTATGTAAAGAAAAAAGGGGAAAAGTTTTGAAATTCTCTTCCAATTTTGAGAAAAATGCAGACACAGAAACACTGTATTTTAATAACTAAGGTTTTTATGCAGTGTTTATTGTCCATTACAAACAACAAATTAATTAGTTTCTTTCATGTGCACTCAGTAATCAGATAAAATGCATGCTAAATAAATTGCTGGAGCTAGTCTACATTAATTTAATCATCTCTCTATCAGTCTGAGAGAATTTTTTTTTTATATCCTGTAACCTATTAAACTATATATATGATTCTGATAAAATATATTACATTGATATTTTAAAATCACCAAGCACCACATTGAAATCAGCAGGAAAATAACTTAATGAACTTTAAGTATCATAATTTTATTGGTTAGGAAAGACACTTGTCTCCTGCAGACAGTTTGGAAAAAAATTACTCTTTTGAATTACCTAAACTACAAAATTCAATTATTTAACTTTTTTGTACGAAACAGACCTTTAATATCACATAATAACATTTTAACTAATATGTAAATGTATGCCTATCAAGGAGTCACTTTAATTGCATATATAGTCTATCATAAGAACTGACTTTCTTTATGAAAGTATACTTTAGCTGACTTCATTATCTAGCCCTCTAATTATACAGTCCACAGCAATCAACCAAAATGAAGCACTTCTATAATCTTAATTTCACATGTCAAATCATTGAATATGTTTTTGCATGATTCTCACATTAATTAGAAAGCCAGATTTTGAATGAATGACAGTGAGTACATGAGGAGGTTAGGGGCACAAGAAAGCTTTCATGTGATGGAAACGCTAGTTCCTACCTATTCCCTTCCCCCAGATCTTCTGTTTCTCCACTGGATAAGAGAAAGGGTATTTATTTGGCTTTAGCAGAACATTTTTGTATTTTCAACTTTTCCCAAACTTCTTGAAGTTTTCTTTTCTTACTCTGACCATTATCCCACCTGTAGCACAGGTTGATATCTTTAGGGGGGATAGGTAGGACATGGCTGAGATCAGGAAGAATTACCATTTTTCTTGTGGGGGCTAGTATGGCAAGAAGTCTTACTTTTCCGGCTTTGGATTGTGCTGACCTAACACATCCTGAGCATTATCCCATCCAACATGGGACATGTTGTGCAGCAGGGAAGGATCATAGGTTCACTTTGGGAAGTTTACAGTGGTTTGTATTTGCAGCTCATGGTGGTGAGCATGACATACTATCAAAGGCCCCATTTTGTGGGAGCTAAAGAGAAACAAGGTTTCACCAATGAGCCCTGAGGCTACAGAAAGATGACATGGGGTTTCTGACCTGAGGAGTTCCCTATCCCAAACTAAGGCAAGAAGACTTGAAAGGTGGGTTAGCCCATATGTTTTCTTATAAATTTTTAGCTCACATTAGAAAAAAATTGAATGCCTATAATAAGAGAATGGGATAATATCAAAGGGTCACTTGGCTACTTACCCTCACCTAGGGTAGCTCACATATTTGCACATACCTTGCACATACCTGTCAATTAAATGCTATTATTTCAATTGTCAGGCAGTCCTACTCAGTTATATGAGTGAAAAATGAATGGTGCATATATTTTAAAAAAATAAAACTTTGTTCCCTGTATTTAGTTTAAATGCAGTATTTCCAAATTTGTGGCAGAAGGAAAATGCTGCTTTATTACAGAAACAGTGTAAGTATCATCGAACCTAACAGGAGTGGTTTTTCTCTAACCAGTTATTACAACCTGAAATTTATTCAGGAAGTTGGTATTAATTGAATTCACTTTCCATAATAAGTGTTTTTATGGAGAGTAAAATAACTTTCTTACAGAATAAATCTAAAAACAATGCAGTCCTAAGATCTCAGATTCAAAGTGAATGGAGATGAAATGTAGTATTCATAAAATAGCAACCATTTTATAATAGAATTCTGTTGCTACTGCCGTTGCAAAAAGTACTCTAATTTACACCATTTGTTAATCTTCACAAATTTTTCTTATTTTTAATAGACAGGACTGCAAGCCTTTCTTCAAAGTAGATGAGTGTGATATGAGAACCACATCTCACTTCAGTCCACTAGAGGGTGGCCTGCCTCGCTCAGGGCTTTGGGACTGAATGCACATAAGAGATCCAACATTTTCCTTTTTTTGACCTGTTGATAACCAATTCTTTGTTCTTCACTGTTGTTCATTTTCTATTATAAACTAATTTAATTTATATAAATAGTATTTATATTAAAAAAAATCCCAACCTTCTCCTAACAATATCTATCTCATTTATTGTTTTGTATATCTGGAAGCAGGGATGATGATAATCACAAATTATTTTATAATTTTTAAAACCTTCATAGTTTGGATACTCTTTGTTCATGGACACAGAAAATGGGGAAAAAATGAATTCTTCACCAAAGAGCATGGCACAAAGAGAGAAAGAAGGAAGAAAGGGAAGAACAAATCTGTGCAGCCTATTGTTTATATAATTGGATGGCCTTAAAGAGAGACTCAAGTAGACAGAGACTGAAAGAAACTGACTTTATTTACCAAACCATTTTTCAGTTTGTTCCAAATTTTTATTTCTCAGGAAGATGTATTATTGCTCTTACTTTCTGCTCATAAACAAAGGCAGCAAAATGTAATATCTGACAAAATTTTGAAAGGGTGTAGTCTGTAAAATCTTTTCCTGTCTTGCGCTTAAAAAAGCACTAAAACTGGCAGCAAGGCACAGCATATTTTTCCTGAGTGTTTTCAACACACAGTGTCCCCTGAACTACGGCAGCCTTTGCAGAACTTCAGTAATCTCTAATAAGTTGTCCTGAGTACAGATAACATCATTTAAAAAAAAAAAAAAAAAAAAAAAAAAAACAGAGAGAGAGAAAGAAAAAAAAAGAAAGAAAACAAAGCGGGGGGGAAGGGAGGAAATTGGACCTCCCGATCTGTTCTGTACAAACACAAAGCATGCCCTGTAGCTCCCACAGATCGGAAGAGATATCTGGAAGCGTGCACAGGCTGGTTTCGTGCATCCGTACCCGAAGCAGCAGTGTCACGTCTCAGACAGCTTCCCACGGCCATCCCGGCTGGCGCAGCCGCGCGTATTACGCGGCATCTGGGCACGGCGGAGCATCGGCTCCTCTCTGGGGAGGGGAAGGGGCTCAGTTATTAATGACCGCTGACAGGCAGCACCATGTCAGCGTGACAATCGAGCGGCTGAACGATGCACCACTAACCACCACGGAAACAAGGAGAAATAAGAGCAGCTAGCGAGCATCTCTCTGCCCCCCGCCCCCCCCACCCCGCCACTTTCTCTCTCCACTGGATTGCGAGCCTCAGAGAGCCAGGCAGCAACAGCGCTCTGGCAAAGGCAAGGCATCTCAGCTGGCAGCACAGAGTGTCTCTCATGTTGTAGGATATCAATAGATACATCTTTGTATTATATAGACCGCTAGACACCGATTCACACCCATACATACGTGTATGCACATCTATTCAGACTCTGGCATTAATACAAGCATGTGGCTACCTGAACTAAGGATTCAAAATTACTGAGATGCAAGAACTCCTTCAGCTCTGAAACTATTCCTATTATAGGGTAAGTTTCTCTTTATTTTCAATTTTACCCTGACTTTTATCTTAACTTGTAGACTCTTTCTTCTTTTTGTAAAGTTATTTTATTAGCATATTTTCATATTTTACTTTCTGAACAGAAATGCAAATGCAATTTGCTTTTTATGTCAGAGATAATCTAAATATGATCGCAGTAGTATCAGATTAGTGCATTTGTTAGCTTTAAATAAATAAAACAAGACACAGGATAGCCTCCTTTCTTTTCTCCAGTGCTAGGATTAGGGGAAATGCTGTTTATGTCAGGACCTAAAAACCACTGAGGAGTGAGGCTGAATGAGCATATCACAAACAGTTATTGAATTTCTGCCAGGCTACATCTTAAGGATTGTGGCAAATGACTTCGCTTGAAAACATCCCCTTTCCAGTCAGAAGGGACAGTCTGATTACTGATGCAGCTGGAACAGACCGTAAGGTAAAAAGGATCACATTAAGCAAAAGAGTTCTAATCTTCTTTGGTAATTAACAGGATCTCTGCAGGATGCCTCTAAAGTATATTTACATGTAAGGACACTGTTCAGATCCATCACTACAAAAGCTTTGCTTGGTGTAGTATAGAAAGGCTCATAACTGTTTGTCTTTGCTTTCCATATCTTTGTTTTCATATGTCTAGCAGGAGTTTTTACCCAGCACTGCTGTTGAGAAAGAGAACCAAACACAGGGGGATAGAGGAGGAAGCAAATGCAGAGGGCTAGAAAAAAAAATCAGTGATTTTCTATTTAGCCAATTTAATCAACATAAAATTTCATGCTAGCACTACTGTTGCCTAATGTTTTTATGCATGTGTATGTCATTTCTTTCATGCAGTATAAGAGTACCTTAGTATCCCTTCAGATAAAAAACACATTCAGTAAAGTCCATCAACATGGATCTGTAATTCATGCATCTGTGAAAAAGAGATATTTTACTTAACACCATAAAAAAGACAGGTTAGCTATCTGATGCATGCTTCAAAGTGAGAAAATACAACCTGCATCTTCCTGTATGCTTTTGTTTGCTTTTAGGACACTATATCTGTACTAAAACTACCTCAGTATTTACATTATTTCTCCCACTCCTTTTTCTCCCTTTAGCCCCCTCACTCCTGTACAGTCTGGAAAACATCACAAAGAATTTGTCCCTTTGCAGCAATGCAATTATTTGCTTGTAATTTTAGAGTTACTGTGTTTTGAGAAACTAACGCTGTGAAACAAGCATCAACAGATAGCCACTGGGTTTAAGTCTGCCACGTTACCAAAAATCTCAGGCGATGGGTAGCTTAACAATATGTTTGGTAAGAAGTCAATTAATTCAGGTGACCTTTATAAATGGTGACAATAAAGCAGCTCTGGCAATGTGCCACAGCATTCGACGTTCCCTCTGGAAAATGAATGAGCTTAAGAAGAGGTTTTCTTTTCAGAGTAAAAATGAAAGGTATGGAAGCATTAGCTCCTGCTATTGGCAACCTTGCTTCCTCTGTTTCAGATAGTCTATGGAATCTGTTTAAAGCAAGCTGGTTTATTTTATATGAAACACAATCTCTGGTCAAATTAAGTATCCTGTTTTCATTCACATTACATGTGCATTTTAGTTGTTGAAACAAGAATTTCAAGCTCCTAGATTGGATTTTTACAGAATATGCTATACAATAAACAGAGAAAACCTGATTTTGATCTCTTCATGCTATGTGCAAAGGACTACTCAGAGGAAACTTTTTCTACATACCATGGTACCTGCTCAGCTTTTCTGAATCTTTATCCTTACACATTTTAAATGTAAAAAATAAGTAAATATGAGTAATTTTACACTAATGCATACTGGGTTTTGCCACATATACTCTAGTGTGCTATTTTAAAATATTACATAGATATGCCAAAGAGTTTCAGAAAAATATGGCCATTTCAATCATAACATGTACAGAGAAAATATGCTGTAGATGCAGTGTCTCAGGACACAGCAAAGACATTCTTAAAATGTATCGTGACTGTATTTTGTTAATACTCCTTCAAAGCTCCTGTAATAATGTTGTAGTGTCAGGCAACGACTGGCTGATGTTGTTATGGTAACCCCCGAAGTCCCGCCTCTCAGGGTGGCAGCTCTGAGCATGACATCAGAGCATGCCTGTTTGGAGTACCCTGAAGTGGGTGAGTATTTCATTTTTTCACCAGAATTAGACCAAATCAACTAGGCAATGTTGCTAATGTGTAATGCAGATCAAAAATATTGTGTATAATCTTTGCTAACTGATCAAGATTGAGCAGCTTATGAAAATACTCAAGTCCTGCAAATCACCCGTGATCACTTGTCCCTTGACACTAGGGAGCAAAATCAAGTGTTTGCAAGTGAGAGCAAACCATTTAGCAGTGTTGGAGCCACTTGCTTTGACTCTCACTCTTAACCTTTATTATATTAGTAATTATTCTACAAACAACCCAAAAGCATTGCTGCTTAGTAAAAATGACTCTAAGTGAAAGTAGGCTGGTATTCAATAGACACACTTTAGAGCATCAAAACAATAGAAAAAAAGTGGCAGAAAGCAAAGAGTTTTTCAAGACAAGCTCCATCTAACTTCTGTAAGAAAAGTCACCACAGAGGAAAAACAAAACCTTTTTTGCACTGTAGGTTTTAGTCATCTATGGTACATCAACATTTCAGTTAATTGATATATCCTTTCTTCAGATAGTAGCATTGAAAGTTGAAGGAAAACAAAACTCTTGAGAGAGACATTGTCAGAAACTATCTTAACAACCCCTTCCATATCAAATTCCACAAATTCTATTTAATATCAAGTAGCAAAAACTGAAAATGAAAAACTAATTTCACATGTAGCGCTCAAGGAACTATTTTCTGAAGACCAAAGAATGGATAAATTCTAAAGTTTTTCTGAAGACTAAAAATCAGACAGCTTGTAAATTTTTTTTAACAGAAAAAACCTAAAAGCCTTCATACTACTTTTAGAAGAATATTAATTCTCATTCTAACAACACAACAAGCAATTCAAATCCTTCACTTTACTGAAAGGAAAATGACAGCAGAATTTGAGAAGAAACAGTAGTGACAGATGTCATTAGAAAAGTCATTAAACACATTAGTATTAAGAGAAAAATCAATACTTCTCATTGCAACTGTAATCTAACTGTAAAAAGGAGTTACTGTGCCTTTTACTTATTCAGCTGACCAGTTCACAAACTGTTAAAAGCTGTTAGTGTGAAATGGCATAGTTCATAAAGAACTTATTTAAACAAACAGTATGACCTTCAGTGTTATACATACAATCTATAAATGACTTCATCAATGTTTCCATAATAAATTCATATCCCCAGCTGACCCGAACTGATAAAAGTTTATATCCTAGAAACATAATTCCACTTTGGGTTCTTTGTGGAGTAGCTGAATGTGACATCTGGTGAGAAAGAACATTTTCATGAGGGTGAAATACAAATTATTTTCAAAAATTTCCTTGATCCAATTACCCTCTCCCAATAGGATTTCCTATTCTTTATACATGGAAGATAGTGCTGTATAATCAATCAGCCATAATACAAGCTACAGACATGCTCTCACCCCTAGCACTCCCAAACCTGTTACTGGTTTTCTGCAAAGCTAAAACAAATGCAGACATTGAAATGAAAGAAACTATTAATTTCATAAACACAAATTTATACAGTGTATTCTTCAAACAATTATCCTTCATTGAGAAATATTTCTTTTTCACAAAAGATTTATCTCAATACAACTCTTCCTCTTTCATCTTGGCCACAAGCAGCAACACTCTAATTCAAAGAAAATAAGATCTCTTCTCGTTATTTCTATTCAGTTTCTGTATTTCTGGAATTTATTAAAATATCTACCTCAAATTTAATGGTAGTTTAACTCTACTGACCTCTGTATTAGAGGAGAAAAGAAATTTTGCCTCTTTTCTGCTCTCAACTCCCACAGACTCAGACAAACTGGGAAATGCTTTTTGACAACATTGGCACAAAAGAAACCATTTAGCAGTTCTCTTTCCTGCATAAGCCTCTGTATTTAGAGGTAAACACTGCAAAGCTGGATAAAATGCTATAGGGAATATTTTTTAAAATGTCTACTGATTATTAGTATTACCCCAAGAGCCTTTTACTAGAAGTTTCTTGTTATGCAAATAGCAACCAGTCTGACAGGAAACACTTTGAAGTCTCTATAAGATTTGGTATAAAAAAGGTAAAATTCTTTGGTTTAGCTGCACCAAAAATGCCTGGAAATCCAAATATCAGTATGAAAAGAAAAGAAAAATAATTTTTATACAATTCTGTGTCTAGGGATCAGACAATTTCAGAAATCACCTACTGAACAAATTACAGAATAATAAACCAGAATGAACATGGGATAATTGAACAAACTACCAAGAGCAAAGTTGTGCATTGAGGCCTTTTAAAAATCATCATAGTACCCTGTGCTATAGTATTCTGTTATACCCTCATCCTGGATGAGAGAAGATAACTCTCCAAATATTCTTTACAAAGGTAACACAATAGTCAGACATTACTAGGGCTCTTCTAGTGTGGTCTTGAGAGATTAAAGGTAACCACGTTGGTTAGATTTGTCATCATGGTGCAAAAACAAAAAGTCATCCTTATTTGAGATAGCACGAGAAATATATCCCTGATTTGGGAGGCATTTAAATAAGTGCAAATATGGAACTGGTTCCCTGAACAAGGATAAACATAAAAGTCTTCTCTTTTAGAATGGTAGCACACCTCTGCTGAAAACAGAGATGTATAGTCACTATTTATATCATATTTATGTGATTTGTTCTGTACCTAAAGACCTAATAAAATTTTTCATCCTGTCAGGAATATTTTTATGTGAAAACAGAAACTTTTCTAAAAGATTTTAGCAAGTGTCATAGCTGTAAATAGAAAGACTAGAGAGAGACATTTGTTTCTTCACCCCAAGCTCACTCTTGTTGCCAAGTTCTCTCAAGTCAATGAACTTCCTCTCCCCTCTGGA